AAAAGCCATAAACCGACCATTTCAGCGGCAGATAGCCGGAGCGCACGGTTAGCTAGCGTTAGCCCCTCTATGCTGCGGCGTACTGAATGCTACACATGCTGCCGTTGCTTCTTCATGACAGAACAGTGTCCCTGAACATCATCGTCCTCCGTCGCGATTTAAGCGCCACGAGAGACCCCCCCCCAAAAAAATGTTTGGATGGTATAAATAATTACTGCAGATCAAAGGGCCGCATCGCAACGTTGTTGACCGTTGCATTTTGGAGCCGCGCGTCTCCGGGGCGACCCGCCGGGCTTGCTGGTCCAACTCACCGCATGTGCGTAAGAACTGTAGGTGCTGAAGGGAAGAGCGATGGCCGGGTTGAAGATGCCGAACTGCCCGACCATCTGCTGCATGCGTCTGATGGTGCGCTCCTTGTCGGTGTCGGCAAACTTGACCACCAAGCTGGAGGAGGCACCCTGGGGGGGCAGAGAGAACTGAAAATCAGAAGATAAACAGCGCGGAGACTTAAACCCTGATTGAAGTCATGGGGGGGGGGGGGTCAGTAGACATTCAACAATAACACAAGTGTGAGTGTGTCAGTGTGCGAGCGTGTCGGCCCCTTGGACGCGTCTCTCGGGCCTCTCGTCAGTATCTGCTTCACATTTGGCCGCTGCGGCGCTGGGGAAACCCCGAGAGAGCGCCATGTCGAATCCTGGTGCAATTTGCTAGGTGCTTCACATCCAGTATTAATAAGTTCACTCGACGGCGTGACTCTTCGTCAGCTCCCTGGAGTCAACATGAGCAGGTAGCCAAGTGGAAGCAGAATAAAACTAGAGCGCACACGTCTCCACTTGGATGGCTTTTCTGTTTACCCCCCCCCGTGGGTTTAACTTGTGCTGACGTTACTGCCAAACCTCTGCTGATTACATACATTCTGTGTTTTAGTTAAAAACCACAAGAGAAATAAGCCTGCTTATGAATTACCCCCCTTCAACTGTGTTTCTGACAGCGACTTTTTAGGGATTTGAGGTGTATGCTGTTTAGTTTGACTCTTGACTATTTCTCTAGCTGGGAATGTAAAACCACTAACCTCTGGCTGTGTGTGTAATTTTTCATTTCCGTTAATGTGGATTTATTCCTGTTTATTTAAAAATACTTGCGTTTGATCTTGCTTCTGTACGTCTCTTGTTTGCACTTAACTCTCCGCCGCTGTAAATCGGCTAATTTGTCCCCGACGCGGCGCTAATGCGGGATTATCTTAAATTATCCAACTAATAATAGTACGACTAATAATGACAGGTGTCGGCAGGCCAAGCGCGCGGAGTTTACCACCTTTATTGCTTTAACGCCCCAAAAGGCTCTGACCCACATGCGGAATTGTGCGCGTGTGGCTGTAACGGATTTAGCACGTGCTGCTCAGACACGTCCACTGGCTCTTCTCATTTTGGATTTCTCACTATTCCGTGTTCATTAGAAAAAAAACAACGGCGGCCCGGCGTGAACATCGATATCTCCGGTGAGCTCCTCCAACCGCACGCGCTTGTTTTTTACCCGGCATTCCAGAGGCAACGTCGCCGCGCGTTTGCATTCGCTGCAGAGGACGGTGGCGCCTCATTGTGCGGCTGGCGTACGTAGACATGAAGCCGGTCGGATGTGTGGAGAGTAAAAACATCCTCGTTATTGAGTGAACAGCTCTGGAGGCAGACGCGTCGACAGAAGCACCGCCGTCTTTTCTTTTTTTTTTTTTTCAATCAGCGTTTAACATGTAACAAGTCACGCGGGGGCAGAGCAGCCTCGCTGTGCATGACATAAATACTTTATATTTCCCCGCCACAGCTTTTCCCCCTTGCAGCACAGACGTAACCTTGGTGTTCCTCCCCACAGATAAGGTTAAGAGATCTGCAATGTACAACACTTTGAAATAAGAGCTACCGTCGGTTGGGTCCCACTGACCTTGTTGTAAGTGTTCTTCAAGGAAAATGTTGCCTTTTTAGAGCACTGCCTCCTCCACACCTCTGTCCATCCTCCCTCGTCCCCTCACCAGCACCATCGCCTCTTTTTCTCCCGCAACCCAATGAAGAAACAGCAGGTGGGATCCGTCACCCACCCTTCATTAAGAATCTTCAAATGATTTAACACTACAGTCGACCTTTCGCGCGCTCCGCCTCCTCCTCCCTCTGCGGCCCCCGAACCGGCCAATCGATCCATATAAAAGGCCGAAATATTACTCTGATCCGACAGGGTGGAAAGGTCGCGTGTCAGCGCCGATGAGAGGCCCCTTGAAATTGATGCAGCGTTGTCAATAACGGCGGTGACCGGTTGGATGGATTGGAGGTCGGGGCTCGGAGGATCTGAGGGGCTAAAGGGGGATTTCTTTATTTGGGGGGGTTGGATCTATCAACAGTTGGTGTCAAACCGTTGTTGTACATGGCTGCTTTTTATTATTAGTTTTTAACTGTTTTTAAAAGGCGGCCGCTGGACCTTTTCCGTTGTGGCGTGTGGATTTCAACCTCTCTTTCTCCCCACTTTTCCCAACACTCCCCTTAAATAACCCCCCCCCCCCCCCGCCGGGTTGCTCGCTGGTCCAATCGCAGGTTTGAACGATTGCAGGTGAGAGGCCGGTCGGGCGGTTGGATGCCTGACTAAATGGCTGATTGCCTAGTTAGCTGAGTGATTGACTCGCTGGCAGGCCCGTCGCCGAGAGACGCTCGGCTAACCGGCTGACGGGCTAATTGTCAGACTGTCGAGCCGGCTGGCATCTGTACTCCGTCCGGCCCGAGTGACTAATTGTTTTCGCTCCCCCCGAAACCGAAGCTTTTGCTGCTCGTTGAGAGCAGCTGTGGTGAGTCTGCGGCAACGGCGGCAGCGGCGAGAGGTCGAAAAACCGCGCGTCACACGTACGAGGGATGACCTTTCCGTATCGCCACACACGGCCACACACACACACGCGCCATTTTGCACCTCGGCCATGTTTCGTTGAAGTTGCCGTCTGCGCATGTTTAACACAATATCTTGTTTTCCGCCCGTCACCTGCGCCGAGCCGATCGGTCTGTGAGTTGATGTTTATTCATGCAACACCCGAGGTGCAACAACAACAACGACAACAACTAGTCCGTGTTGCAAATGCAACATCCATGCAGGAGCGTTCTGACTGTTCCAGCTCTGGTAGGCCGACGGGTTTCAGCAGCGTCGCTGAGCAGCTCACGTGAGTGTGAGTGGGTTTGATGTCCAGGTGCAGAAGATCAGGGCTAAAGTCACGTGGCGTCAACTCGGCCTGAGCAACGAGGCATCTATTAAAGACGATTCAAGGATACCCTTTGCACTCTTACAGGTTTAGGGTTTGTCTGTTGTGTCTCTCTGTTTTTTTTTACTATCCCCATCATTAACTTCATGACGAGGTTTAACTTGTGGGACTGAGGGAGTCCAGCGCAGGGCAGCAGAATACAGAAACCATGTGCTAGTACATGTAAAAAAAAAAAGGAAATAAGCTATTACAGGGATGCCCGGTTTGGTAACGGGAGCCGTGTGTTCTCGCTCTGCGCCTCTAATTTTAAGGTAATTTAGGGCACTGAGTTGGAACACTGAGGTCCTCCCCTTTCCTTAATAAAATAAGACTTGAATCACATGGTTCATTGTGAATGTCTAGTTGTACAAGAGCCTTGTTCTCTTTCATACTCTTTGCATGTACACCCCCCCCCACTGCTTCTCCCAGAGACCCCTCTGAATGGTGTGGCTTATCGGCTAAGCATCCCATGCCACATGTGTTTATCTCCCAGCTTTTTTCCCAGTTAGGCCTGTCAGGATATCGCGGAGTAGAATCTGAAGTGTGACGTAAAAGCCTCATTTATTTTTTAAGCTGCCGTGTGTGAGCAGAGCCCCCCCCCTGCCGGGCGGCTTCCGGCTGCCTGGACGGCCACTGAACGAAGGGGGACTTAAAGAGGAGGCACTACAGAGAATCACACCCCAAAAGGAAGTGTGGCTGCTCACAGTTCCTCCCCGAGGCCGAGGCTTGGTGTCAGTCTAAGCCGCAGACCCCCGTACTTCTTCAACTTCACACACACACACACGCCAGCTCGCATTAGTGCAGGTTGACCCCAGAAGGAAGACTGATCCCGCGTCGGTACGTAGCTGCATTAGCTTCAAGTGTCACGCGAACTTTGATGGTGTCTCAGTCTGCATGAATTAGTTAAACTATGAAATGAAGAAACACACATTTCAGACTCTTTTTCATCAGCGCCTGCGAAATACATTTTTAAGAAACGGCTCTTTTAATCACAACGCATTGCCACTAAAACTGCCTGTTACTCCACAGCAAATGGCATCGTCTGCCGGCGCATTCACAATTTGAAAATGATGAGTTATCTACTTTGGCCCCATTGCGTTCTGTATCCATGCTGAATATACAGTTAGTGGCTACAGTACACCGCTTATATTTTATTCTATGCTTATTGTGGTGATAAGGCATTACCGCCCATGGAATCGTAAATACGCATCCTCTCGGAGCTCGGCGGGTAAAATAATGGATGACTGTAATCTATTAGGTTATTAGACTATAAATTGCCTGGGTAGAAATACTTGCGGGGGAGATGACAGATCGTAAACAATCAACGTTAACTTAAAAAATATAAAAGGCAGAACATTGTTTAATGAGAAGCACCACAAAGATCTATCATGCTCGTGAAATACCGACATTAAAACTCTGCATCTCATTGACTGAGATCACTTTCAGTTTTCACTGCTTTCTGGCATAAAGGGGCAGTTCTGCACTGCAGGATTCGCTGTTCTTCTTTTGCCTTGTTATCCTTATTTAGGGGAGTGACATATTGATCTGTATATTAAACCACTGTGTCTGGTTGGATATTAAATCCTGGCCTTTGCATTTATGCATGTGTGTGTGTGTGTGTGTGTGTGTGTGTGTGCGCTCTCTGTCTGAAGTAATAGAGAGGATCCTGCAGCCGGTGGAATCAGATTTGCATGTTTTTTGTTTTTGCTCCTCTCTTCACTCTCACTCATCTCTCCCTCCTTCATGCAAACTTCACCTCATTTGTCTTCCCTTTGATCTGCTCTTATCCGTCCGTCATCGTGCCCCAGTGTCGCCGCGCGTGTGAGTCCCTGCGTCAGCCGAAAACCGCCTCCAAGCCGGGCTCAGCTGATGCGGATACGGGAGCGAAAAAGATCAGCGCGGCCCTACGGACTCGACCGCACCGCCACCCCCCCCCACCATGTAATTCTGTCCCGGGACTCACTTCCTACACGGTTCCCGTTGAGTCCCGGCAATTTGCTTTACAGCTCTGGCGTTTGAACGTTTAATCGAGCCACCGGTGGGCGGCGTGCACGGAATGTGTCGGGTTGGGATGTGATTCTATACTTCTACTTCTATACGACCTGCCGATGCACTTCTATAACTCATACACTTCATACATCGCTAACATCCTTCATGTACCGCGACACAATGTCGGAGTTAGCTATTGGCAGATCATTTTTCATTGCGATTCGCACACATGTATAAGTAAAGTATATTTTTGCATGCGCCGTCGTTTTCCGACATGGACACGCTCCGTGCGGGGTTTCTATTTCCTTGCCTACAATACATACAAAATGCCCCATTCCCCTTTTCTACATGAATAACACAAATGTATTCAGCCCAAGTCCTCCGAGCTGGAAAATGAGATCAGTCAGGCGACCTTTGACCCTTGCCTGTGGCTGTGCGAGCATGTGACTGTGAAACAGAGAGCGGGGCAATATAGGAAGAGTATGCGCGCGTGTGTGCCCATAAAAATGCACCAGCCACAAAGTGCTCCTGTTTGTACATGTTTATGTATGCACACACATGCACATCCGTGTGTGTGTGTGTGTGTGTGTCTGTGTGTGTGTGTGTGCGCACACTCATGAACTGTAGGAAGCCGGTGCTCAGGCTTTGGGCAATTGGCAGTAGATCAATCAAATTGCTTTAGTTAGTCGCAGCGTTAACATTCGGTGCACCCAGCTAGCGACGCCATTGGCCGGGCCATCTCTCCGAGGCCCAGCAGCCACGGCCTCGTGTGTGGCAGTAAATATGCAGACACACACACACATAGGATAGGGTCCTATAGGGTCAGGATAGGGTCGGTTCGGACATATAAAACATCTGTCGGGTTGGATCGGGCTCGGTTGTTACTCTCTCAGACTTTAAGTAAGAGGCCTGAATATATATGAAATATTTTAGTAAGTTCATTAGAAAAATGTCTATCTGCCTCAGAGAGGTATGAATGCGACATTTACTTATAACTAGCACAGGATACACCCTTTATAGGTTCACTTCTATTTCTCCAAAAGTGTGCATGATATATTCATTGATTCCGTCAACGTACGTGACTTATTTTTGCAGCTGCGACTCGGCGGCAATCGACAAACTCAACTGGAGACGGGACGCACGCTCCGAGGTTTTTCTCCGGGATCTTTGCCGCATTGATGGACACTTTGCCCCTCCGAATAGCCCCCCCGTCCCACCGAGGCGTAACGGTCCACCGGCGGTCCGCTAATCTCAGCGAGGCAGGCACACTGCGTCCTCTCCCCCAGCAGCCACAGGATATGAGATGCTGATCAGATTTCTATAATCAATTTACCAGAGCAGGAGGTATAAATCCTGTCCATTCACTCATTCTCCCCCGCCTCCCGCACCCCCTCTCGCTTTCTCGCCATCTCTCAGCCTCCCTCCAACTCCGACTCCCCTCCCTTCTGCCCCCTGCTTATAGTCAGATGAATAATTCAGCAGCCAATGTGGTGAAAGGTGGAGTAAACAAGTCTATTGCCTAATATCCCGAGAGGCTGCCAAAGAGAGACGAGTGAGGGCAGAGAGGTAGCACAGATAGGGGGGGGGGGGGGGCGCTGGAGCGACGGCGAGAGGAGGGTATCTATGGAGAGGGGACATCCAGAGTCGCTCCTCGCGACCTGCAGTCATTTGCACTTAGATTGACTCGGGGGTCGCGCCAAAACGGCACAGCTGGCCTGCCGGTGCGCTCCTCGCTGTCCGGCCACATGTTGGCAACCATTGGTAATGAAATCCTACCGTGGAACACAACAAGGTGGTACAGAGTTCAGGGTGCCTGCCTCTCTGCCGCGAGAGCCCCCCTTCCCCCTTCTCCCCCCTTCTTCCCGGAAAACAAATAAGGAGTCTAAAAGCGTGGCGTTGCACGCGGGACGTGACTCTCTCCGTCTGCTCCCCGGATGTCACGGAGAATGACTCTATTCAGCTGCGGAGTGCAGAGTAAGTAGCTTTTATTTTGACAGCAGCAGGTACACAAGCGAGCTCGTCTCAGTCGCGAGGCCCCTACAGACGAGCGCCGAGTGAATCCGATGCGGGGAGGATGCAGAGGACACGGCGCGCTTACATAACGAGCAAATGTAATCTCACACTGGAGTTACATTCACTGATTATGCAAGCAGAACTACTGATTGATGACTCGCCCCAAATTCAATTATCATTCTAAACAGTTTTATCTCGAAATTAGATTTGGATTTTTTTTCCATGTGGGGGGGGTTATACAAAAGTACCGTGTTAATTAAAGAGACAGAAGGCTATTTCTGACTGTATCTGTTTTTAAAGCCGGGGTATTTATGAGGCTGGCTGCACTTTCTATAAATTGATTAGAACTTCGGGGCTGAGCTCAAAATCACAAGTTTGCAGCTCTTAATCAGCAGAGGTGGACTGCACACGGCCGCTGCGATTGGTGCGCCGAGTGTACGTGTTGTGCATGCGATGGATGTTGCCGCTGTGTGTGTGTGTGTGTTTCATCGTGCGTGAGGGAGAGAGCTGTACTCACTGGCATGGTCTGGCTGCCGTGCAGGGCGCTGATTGCAGACTGAGCCTCGGTGTGTGTGGAGAACTTGACAAAGGCGCAACCTGGAAGAGAGGAGGCGCACATCACGCACACAGTACACGCATCCATACAGCTAATGCATTCAATCGAGCCGGTTTGAAAGCCCACGGTGTGTTAATAAAGGATGCTGAATTGTATTTGATGGCGCAGAAATCACTGTGCAGCGAGCGGCTCGCGTCGCACAGCAGGCTGCTCCACTCCGGGCATTAGGCAGGCAGACAAGCAAGCACAGGCTGCAGGCTACAAGCTGCACCGATGAAGCAGAAAAACACGCTATTTAGCACCACATGCCTGTCTGTGCATATTAAACACTAGCCAAACCAGCTAATCTCATAAGGGCGCAGACTAGAAAAACCCGCTAAGGTTGAGAAAAACAGGATGTTCTGATCGATGATGCGAAGGCCGGGAACCAACGAAGCAACGCACCAAGTCCTTGAGGAATATGGTGACGCGCGGACAAAGTGAGAGCAAGTTGAAGACGGCTTTTGTGGGTTCACAAAGTGAGCTGTCGCACATTAATTATTCAACTAATAAAACTGAAGCATGGCTCCCTTTTAGCACTGGAAACATGGGATATAAAGCCGTACACTTTGTCTCCTTTCGAAATGACTCATATTGTAATCAGATTTGTAACTGTGAACAAAATATTCATGACACGCGTGTGCTGATCATGTTATCACGTACACACCGACACGCTGCTGTGTGTCTGGTGTTGTTTTGATAAATGAAAGCATGTCTTCTCCTCCGTACAGAAGGTCTGTTGCAGTGAGGCAGCCGCTGCCAATCCCCTCTTATAATTACACCCTATTTCCCCTAATTTCATTTCAAGTTCCTTTTCTGCTCTTATTTAATCTTTCATACTTTGCTCTTCTTATCGTCTCCGCTGGCTGACCTCGCCGCCCCGCCATTCTTCCCCTCTTAATGGGCTTACCCCCCCCCCGTGGACACCAGCCAATCAAGATGCCCGTTGAGCTGTCGAACCACTGCAGAGGTTGAGATACGGATAGAAAGGAGCTCGCGCTCGGCTTGACCTGTACAAGGACTTTTTCTTATTGTTATTAACGGCCTGCCCATATTATTATGAATTTAACTCTTTATGTACTCAGCGGGCTGCAGAGAGCATTGCCTCGGCTTTTTATACATAAATCAGTAGGTGATGGGTTTGAGACTTCGGAACCGAGCAATACTCATCGTATGCCTACGATCATAAAGTTATCATATTGTTGCAAAATATTCTGCACAAAGAGGATTTTATTGATGACTAAGTGTTAAAACAGATGTGTCTTTGCCCGCAGGGGTAAAGGATGTTTTGTTATTTTCTTTTTCTTTTACAAGAAAGATAATAATAAAAGAACTGATGTCACGACAAATGATTATTTACCCGACATGCAGTGGAGTAAACACACAGTGGCATGAAATAGAAATACCCACGTAAAGTACGAGCCGATGAAAATAGCTCTTTTACTTGAGCGAGTGTACTTTGTTACTTTTAACCGCTAGAAAGTTCCCTGTGCTGCCCACGTCCGCACAGCGGGAACACTGGGATCGTTCTGACATCCATCTTCCTCCTGCAAACCGCTGCAGAGTCAGAACGTTCTGCCTTCAAAACCTCTCAGATATAATCCGCCAACAATTTCCTTAAGCGGCGAAGTGGGGATTGGGCTTCGGGGGGGGGGGGGGCAGCCGCTGGTCGCTGTGCTCTTCTCTGCATGTCAGAGAGAATCGACGTCTATGAAAGTCGTCGGCTGGTTTTTTGAAAAAAGGCCCGAAAGATTTCAACACCATCGCAGCTCATCCATTGGACGAAAGGACGGAGGACGGTTAGAAGGGGAGGAGTCGTCGCTTTCTAACGGATGTGATGAGCATTGCAATAACAGCAGCATTCTTTGCATTCTTTGCATTCTTTCATAACACGGGCTGTCATGCTTCGTGAGTCTTTTGAAGTTGTACCAGATTATTTATGCATTCGTCCCTGTTCTTTTCCTTAAGAGAGAAAAATCCTATTTTATTTGATTCGATTTTCATTGGTCGGCGGCCTCAAAGAAAATGAATGCGTTCGCAACCAACTGCACGAAAAGGACAAACCGACTAATCATCCGCTCACCTTCTCACGCGCCTCCTAATTATGAGAAATCAAACCGCACGTGACGCGTCGGGGCTTCACTTTCTTCGCCACCGCCTGCAGCCGCCTTCAACATCAAACAGGGCGGCGCGAAAAAAGAAATGCTCGCAAATTACGTGTCGTTTGACCTAAATCCGCTGCGTACGTCACATCCGCTCGGCGCGGCCCCGGCTGACGCGGACACTCACGCACACTGTCACTTCTCTGTCAGTGACCCAAATAATGCTGACAGGCGCGACGGCGGGGCCCCCCTACCTTTGCTGTTTCCGTCAGGACCTCTTAGGACCGTGCACTCCTCAATGACTCCGTAGGGTTCGAAGAGGCGGTAAACATCCTCCTCGGTCTGTTGTTTGTTCAGCATCCCGACAAACAACTTCCTGTCTTCTGGAACAAACAACGAGACAAAAGGTCAAATTAGAACTTTGACCTCAGTTGCCCGGGCCGAGTTCGAAAAGGCGCGGCGGCGTGGCGTTGCGTTCAGAGGGGGGGAAGGGAGGGAGGGGGTGGGAGGGGTTGGGGGGGGGGTCTCTTTCCCTCACGGCGGCGAACACACACGAGTCACATTGTGTCGTCTCTTTCTACAAGACTGATCATTTTAATCTCCCCCATAACTGGGTTTAGTCCCATATGTGCACATATGTGCAGTACACTTTAGCTGCAGGGGGGGGGGGGGGGGAATGGGCCCGGGCTTTGGAGAAGAAGGGGGGGGCGCATTGAGAGGACTATTGAAGAGGTTTCTCTCTCACACACACACACACACTCACTCAAGGGGCCCGAGACAATGAGCAAGTCTTTGGTCGCTTTTAAAAGCACCAGGGGCTCCAGGCAGCTCCACCCTCTTAAACACCACACTGTTACGGGAGGAAGACTCCCCCCCCCCCCCCCCCCCACACTCCCCAGGTCTCTCTTTCCATCCTCTCCATTCATCTCTCTCTCCGCCCACTCTCTCTCTCTCTCTCTCTCTCTCTCTCTCGCTCTCTCTCTCTCGCTGATTCCACATTTTTCAACCTCATTCTTCTGCCTCCCTCCACTTGCTCCTCTTTATCTCTCTCTCTTACTCTACTAATGCTGCTGATCCGGTGTTTTTTGTGTAGCCCGGAGAAAATATTTCCGTATGCTCTTCAGTGAACAATGGCGTGTCTCTCGGAGGCCGGGAGACGCCGCCGTGAATAGCGCTGACTTTTCAATAGATAGCCCGTGTGCTATTGAGTCCTGTTAAACGCTGTGGGATCTGATCTTTACCTTGACCCGACACACTGTGTTTACTGATGTACTCCGGCCGCGTATGATTAATGCCACAGCGCGGCCCGGTCTCTGCTGGCGGCACAAGCACTAAAACATTCCCTTTATACAGATTGTTTCTCAAACTCTGACCCGTGCAGCGAGGGGGGGGGGCCTGAGTGGGCGAATGGACCGGCGGCGGCCTGCTGCAAGGCGGGTTGCGAGTGTCGGGTTGACCCGTGCCGACTGGAGAGTGCACGGCGTTGCTGTCGCTCCCTGAGCCAGACGCAAGCCGATACCCACATCGAGCCCCGGGGAGGGGGGGCAATGATGCACCTTTATAATAATCACCCGTGTCAGTGGATTGTCTAGGGAGGGGCGTCGCCGGTGCTGGCTCCTTATTGCAAGTGGCGGGATCAGAGGCTACGTATCAAAACGGAAGTGATGCAATGTGACATCTGTCGGGGAGGATTGGGGAGCATTTATCTGTGGGAGAAAAAAAAAAAATTGAAAGCCCCGAACTGGAAAATGAAAGGCCAAGATTGTCCTTCCTTTTGCTGGAGGGAGAATATAAATTTTGAGGGGAGATGAATCAAGGAGAAGAGGCGGGGCTGGACTGCAGAAATCCCCCCCCCCCCACCCCCCCCTCGACGCGGCCGGACCCCCACGTCACGTGCGCTCCCGTGCACAGCTGGAGAAGCCGCACAAGAAGCACACCGCGGGACCGCGGTCGCTCCCGCCCCCCGCTTCGGCTTTAACCTCCGTCTTCAAGTGGATGCTGGGGGGATCTGACAGGTTTTGAATTAATGCACGACCCCATCAATTTCATATGAGCTGCACTCTGACGATCAAACCCGAGAACAGCCCTTAAAAAACGTCCCTCCATCCCCCTCTGAAGGATTTCTAACTGGGAACGTCACCTCCAGCTGAATGGAATAATATTTATACGAATCCCAGAAGCACGGGATCATGTGGGCCGATGCATCACACGCCTGTGTATTGGTTCACGGCGAGCTACGATAAAAATAAAAAAAAACGCGCTTGAGTCATGTGCAGCCTGCTGGCTTTTATGCACTGCATCTGAAAAAGATGCTAATCTGAAGGCACGGGCGAGAGTTGCGATGTGAGAAAGGTGCGACACATTTTATGTTCACAACGGTGGAATTTAGCGCCGGTGTCTGAGGGAGAGAGAGAGAGAGAGAGTGTGTTCTGCAAAGTGTGAGTGCTTTGAAAAGCAGCTAACAACGCACGAGAACGGATCATCTGGGAGGTCTGTTTCCCCCCCGTCTAGAGGGTTCTGCTGTGGCATTCGGGTGAATTCAAGTGTCGGATGGAGACATTATCTAATTTACCTAGAACACGCAGCACAGTGGGCAAACCGACGCAGCCGTTTAAGCATTTCTGAAGAGGCGGGAGAGAAATATTATATTTCTACAACAAACTAGGATATGAAATACGCCCTCACGCGTTGGAAGACACAACGGGTTGCGCGTCCCATAGCAGACAACCTCTCAGGCGGCCTTGTGGAAGCCAGGGGAGGGTCCCGCGAAGGGGGATCCTCACCTTCCCCCGGTTGGGCCGCATGGCGTGGGACACTAAAACACTGTCCGCTCCATTACGAAAGCGCGGCGGCCCGGTGATTAACGGGAAAACGCTGCGGGCCGTGTCCCGGCTGATCAATGTGGCTCAAAGGTACAGAGCGAGTTGTCTATTAATTGGTAGTAACATTTGTAAGAGTCCTCGGGCGAGACACTAAAGCCCAAATTGCTCCCGAAGGCGGTGCCGTTTCGCGTCAGCACTTTGGCCGTTGTTTGCGCGGCCGCGCCGTTAGCGCCGTTAGCGGGGCGCCGTCGAGGCGTTGAGAGCGGCCGAGAGGCACAATCTCTGAGCCAAAGTCAACTGTGCCTTGCATAATTAATAGGAAGTCATGACGAAGAAGAATAGTTCTGATTGAATCGGGTTTGCAGCTGAATTGAACTGTCGGCCACACGCAACCCCGCAGCGTTCTGTGAAGCTGAGAGGTTAAAACATGATTAGCATTTAACGCCGTTTTGGTTCTTTAGTTTCCTCTTTTGCAGCCTTCAAAAAAACGGCGGAGTCGTCTTTCTGTTCCAGCTACTCATCTGTGTGTATAGATGCATGTAAAATAAGACAAGGACTTATGAGTTGGTCTTTTTTTTTCTTGCTCACGGAGCCCGATGAGCATAAATAGCATCCTCAATTAGCATCCCCACTATAGTGTTAGCAGTGAAATGTCGTCGCCTAAACAATTCCGGAGTCTAATCACCAGCAACTTAACTGTGAAAACTGTGCGGCATGCTGACATTAAGATGCCTCCACAGCCCACTGTGCCAGAGCACGGTGTGCAACTTCCCTGCGACACACCATTTCTATCCCGGAACTCAACCCCCCCATCATGTTTAATTTACTCTCAGTTACTAGACAGATGCTTGGTTTGGAATAAATGCATCGGAAATTCAACTCCGGAATAATGAAATGGCAGTGCGCTGCCTGGTTACACACACGCTGAAGATCGCTGGGTCAATTCGGACCCTTTTCTAATCAAGTCGAGCTGTTTGCTTTGTGGCCTCGGGAGAAGCCTTTGAGTCGCTGCGCGAAAGCAACTCATATCAGCAATATTTCAATATCTTAATTCTGACCGTTGCACCCCGAACATGACGAACAGCACCAGTGTCCTTCCCCGTGAATGCACTTCAGGCCTCTGCACAATTCCTTCCTCGGTTACATAATGCTGAGTGAAATGAGACTTATTAAATAGCAAAGGGGCTGAGAACTAGAGGGATTTGGAGGGGGGGGTCGGGGGTCGAGGGGGGGTGCAGGAGACAGAACTGTAGGTTTATGTGCACGCAGTCCTGCAGCCCTTGATAAGCCAGGATGGATGAAAGAGGTACACCATCAGCGTTTGTAAATCATTGTCAGGGGTGGAGAGGATGAGTCAAGGTGTGAGGAAACGGAGAGAGAGAGAGCAGGGTGGAGGGGGGAGGCGGGTGGTGACGGGGGGGGGGGGGGGGTAATGGGGGGGAAGCAGAGCACACAAAATGCCTCGTGGTGCTCTCTGGTTTTCAATCTCCACGTCTCTGTATGTCTCCTTCTCAATCGTCGCGACAGCAAGGGAGTATACGGGGGGAGGGAGGGAGGGAGGGAGATAGAAAGCACTTGTCAGGAGGATGGGGAGGTTGCCATGACAACTAGTCACACAGCAGGCTGTCAGTCATGTTTGGTTGGAGTTTGGAGAGGAGGAGCGGAGTTAAGGGAGAAGGGGTCATTTCTCCATCTGCCTGCCGAGCCGGAGTGTAAATCGGACTGTCAGGCCCGCAGATAAGAACAAATTATGAACAATATTAGCCCGCCGATAAAAGTGTGAAAATAATGAATGGATAAATATATTAAAACCGAAGGAGATAGCATCCAGGCAGTAACGGGTCTGGCTTTTCTCATTTGGAGGGTGAGATAAAGCGGTGGAGAGCGGCTGCGAGGAGGGGAGGGATCCGCCGTATTAGAGCTACAGCTACCGTGGCGTATGCTTCCTTGTCAAAGGAAAGGAAGAAAGGATCGAAATCACTTTGGAGCCGGAATACCAAACACTGTGGCTTCCTCTCCCTCCCTCGCCAGCCTATTATACTTCTCCAGTGAGCAGGACGCCTCACAATAACAGTGTCAGCATGTGTTCAAGCATAAAAAAACACAGACAGAATGGAACGAAATTAATTAACCCGAAGAGATCGCAGTGCTTAGCCAGTGGAATTTAATCCAATTTATTACATATAAGGGATCTAACTAGGGTCGTGTTTGCATTAATGAGCTGCCGAGTGTGGATGCGCGTGCACGTGTACAGTGGTGCGCGTGCACGCGTGTGCCAAGGGCGTTCTTCCCCGTCCTTATGTACAGTAAGCGGTCAGCGGCAGAGGAGGGAAGGGCCGACGAGGGAGGGAGTCGGAGGTGCTTGGCACAGCCTCAGGGTGAACCCCCCCGCCAAACACACACACACACACACCCTCCACCAAATTAACTCCTGAATAATGAGCCTTTCATGTCGCGGGGGCCGGAGAGCGGCCCACGTGTTTCGCCGCGACGCCGGGGCCACTTCAGGCGGGGAGCCAGTTAGCCGGTTCCACCGGTTCCACACCTTCCGCCGAGAAAAC